AAATACTGTGTATTAATAAGAATTTTGTTTTTCATGTTTTAAATTAATAAGCCTTAGATAAAAATTTAATAAGCAGTAATTTATTAGCTATTTTAATGACAGTTTTTTTCTTTTTATATATCTTATACTTTTCTGTTTTTAAATTTTGTAAAACAATATTTTTATTCTTATTTATTTGCAGAATATTAAAATCTCTTATTCAATTTTTCAAATATTTACATCACATACGAACACGGCTCTAAATAAGTTTCTACTACTTCTATTTTTATTATTAATGGAATATAATTAGACTAATTATATCAAAATCTAATTCATTTTTTTTTATTACTTACTAACATTTTTTTACGAGTAAGTATCATTTTTAACAATTTATAAATAACTACTATACCACAAAGTAGTATCACAAATATAAAAACAGATAAAATTGCTATAACATCTATATCAAATTTCATATACCAAAGATCATTAGCGATACTGGTATGAAGATGAAAAGCACCTTTGTGACGAATAACAAATTCAATCCACCAAATCACATGTTCCAAAAGATCATAAGGTTTATCTTCATTTAACGCTTTAATTTCGAGAATTCTTTTTTTATATCTAGAAAAAAATTTATATTTCAAAGCAATTATGATAAAATGTAAAATATTCTATCTAAAGGAGCTAGTTCTATTTTACAACTGCATTTTAATCATAATTGCAAAAGAATTTTGTATGCGTGCTTGCACATGAGTGAATGTGTATTATGAGATAGTATTGTGTAATAATTAGATTGATATATAAAACTGTTAATATAAAAAAATTATTACTTTTCATTGGTTAACATGTCTATTATACTGTTATTTAAATATTCTTTTGACATATTTATAATGTTTAAACGTTTTCCAATTCCAAGAAGTTCTACTTTTTTAAGTTGAATATGCTGATCAGCCATTACTGGTAATCCTAAGACCGGTACTTTATAATAAATAGCTTCTTCTGTACTCTGAAGCCCACCTTGGTATATAAATAATTTAATGTTTGAATGGGCTGCAAAATGAAAAATATAGAAAAATGTATGGTTAAGTGAAACAATATATATAAATATAAACTTTAGTTATAATACTTCCATAAATTTACCGAGGATACTTTGCTGCGGAAACCATTTAGCGATGTAGATATTGTCAGGTTTATTTATTAATTCACCTTCATATTTCCACAAAACTTTGCACGGCATATTTGCAAATACATCACGAAATATTTGTTGTATGTTATTTGGAAATGATGTCATCATGACATTTGTACCTAAACTCATATAAATGAATCCATTTGGTGCATTTGTTATAAATTCCATCAAATCCTGAAACAAAATAACTATTTCGTTACATTTTAAAAGAGAAAATCTTAACGAGAATCTTAACTTAAGAGAAAATCTTAAAATCTTCTCTTTCAATATATAGAAAAATTAATTTTAGATACAATGAAAATAATATAAAATAATTGAAATTATGAAATGTAATACGTTAATACGTTTTATGAATACAACATTAATACGTTTTTTGAATACAACAATTACTTTTGATAAGGCCATGAGTTTTTTTGAAATATGAAGATTTCCAAATGATATAATATTAGGTGCTTTTGGCCTGGAAAACGAGAGAACTTCTTGCTGATTTTCCAAAACAATACTTATATTTCTTTCTATATCACTTATGTCCGGGATATCATTTCCAAGATATTTTTCAGCTATTGCCTGATGCTTAGGATAATAGTGATAGATTACGCAATATATGTGATACCACTGACGAATAAAATTTCTTATCCTTTGCCATAATGAAAGATTAAAACCAGTATCAAGTCTCATTTCCCAAGCAGAAGGATGTGATGGCAGAACAGGTGCACCAAGTAAATAGTAATTATTATTCGACAATTCTAATGATGATATACCTGTAAATAAATATAAACTTTTAAATGCAATCAATTTTTTGCATATAGACTTTATTTTTAAAAATTATTATAGAGACTTTATATAAATATGAACATATAGGAGGTTAACGAATTCTGGTATTAAAAAATATAATTTTTAGCTTTCTTAAAAATTTTCATTAAAATAAAAGAATATTAAAGCATTATTGTTTTTGTATGTGTAACATTGACCTTACCTATAAGCGGTGCATTAAATCTGTGCGCTAATCCGTAAAAACTAGGCGTTAAAATAATCTCTGCAATTACTACGTCAAATTGTTGATCATTGTTTGATACATATATCTTACGTACTTCTGGATGCTTATAAATCATTTCTGATATTTCGAGACATGCAGGCCATGCTTGTGTACGTAGCGCATTCATAAAGGAGAGCTCCATCATTTTAACGAAGTCTATTTTTCTTGATATCTTGTACGTAGAATGGATGTTAATTTCTGTCAAATTTGTTAAACTAGGATCATTGATCGGATCTGTTGTTATAAGAACTACGTCGTGTCCTCGTCGACTCAGAGTGGTCCATATTGTTCGATAAGCAACTTGGTGACTGTAAGATGGTAATGGCATAATCGCCAAAATCCTTGCAGTCTCTATCGTCACGACAATGCATAAAAAGCATGTCATACAAAATGCGAGTTGTTTAATTGACTTCATTTTCCTGTTATTTAAACAAAATTCAGTATTAATTATCCTTATTGGGGAGTCCGCTCTTATTTGTATAATTGTTCTGTTTTCTTGATGTTAAAGAATATATATCTATTTACGATAATGAACAAATATGTCTTACGATTATCCGTAAGCGTTGAAATATCTATAAATAAAAATATTACAATTCAGTTGTTTTCGTTTAAAATGCAAGTTAGATCTATAATACACCAAAACACCATTTAATTTTTTTCCATTTACAAAAAATAATACATTGTACGACGTTGTTTTTTACTCAATGCACATTAATAACAGGATGTGTTTTAGACTATGCAGAAATAGATATGAATGTATTTCCACTGTACAGATAATATTCATGCTTATTAAAATAAATAATGTGATAATAAGATATCAAGCAAATATTTTATTTAAAACAGATATAACATAATTTGCATTTACGTTTAGAATATAAAATTTTAATTTATAATAATGTAGATTTATGTAGAATTATTATGTTTTCTGAAGAGTCTATTACGCTACAAATTATTATGAAGTTTATATAATTATTATATAGTTTATATAATTATAATGAATTTTAAAGTTAGAAAAAAATTTATTAGGATTTTGTATGTTCTTCAAAGATTTTTAGAATTTTGAAAGAAATTCTAGAATTCCTTAAAAGAAACAATTAACAGTGGAAGCATAAGAAATGCTATGTAGCGAATTGTTGGTGATAGAAAGATTACTTCATGACATCTTTTATTACTTGAAAATTTTTTATTCTATAAATCTTTATATGTACGTTTTTGAAAATATTCTGATGAGTATATTTCAATAATAATTTCAATTTTTTGAAAAATTGTTTGGGGCATTCAGACTTCTAATGTATCTTTTGTCAAAAGATTTTGTATGATTACCTAACTTTAATATATGAATTTTTATATAAATATATAATTTATATAAATATTTGTGTGGTATTGAATTCTGCATCGCCTCAATCGGTAATGATAACATTTTCTTACACTTTTCTATGCAACTTTAGTTTTAAGTCACATTTAATCTGTGTTTAGGCAAAAAGTTGAAGAAATTTATTTGAAATTAATAGTATATCAATTTTAAGTATATGGCACATTGCGTATATATTCAACGGACTGTGATAAACTGAGAAAATTCATGAAAATTTGGTGGATCAAAATTGCGCTGATTTGTTTCTTTCTTGCCTCTTCATTCCTCATTTTGCATATTTTCTTGTTTAACACGAAGATTAGATCCTATTTCTATTTTTATCATAAAAAATAAAATTTGATTGCTATTTGTCGCCGTAATACGAAACAATGAACGATTTGTTCATCAGAATAATAAATATCTAGATATCAGAATAATAGATGTCAAATATTTAAAACATAACAGTATTCGTAACTTTCAACATATTTTTGGATCTTTGTAATTTTGACAATTCAAACATAAATTTACAAATGACAATAGATCAGTGAGGCGGAATTCTTTCGAATTAATGTTGTACATATCAGTACAAAATTATCATTTCATGAAAAGATAAAGAAATGTCATATATGTCATATATTTTAGAATATTAAAAATCAAGGTTAACATATCATTTAAATTCATAAATAAAAGAAACTATTAGAAAACTTATCAGTAAAATGTTAATGTTTTTTAAAAATAATGAGCTGAAGAAGATAATGAGGAAAAAAATTGCGCTATAATTTTGTTATTAAACAATTTTGTTATAATTGTTATTAAAATAAATATATATTTTTCCTGTAAACATATAACATTTTAATAAACT